AAAATAGGGAGATAAAGCAGCCGTTACCGAATTTCTTGCCGGTTCTTCCGTCATAGACTTACGAACCCATAGCATAAAGTTTAAACTTTCACAAATGCTCGTGTAATGTGCTAGACTGAATAAATTATTTTGATTTGATTTAAATCATAAATAAATAGAAAATATTTTCATCTTTCATTGAAAATTTAAATTTTTATTTCTCGTCAGACTCATAACGTGTCGGGTAGCTCAATCAATTAGATATGTCGCCTAGATTTTGAAAGGTTAAGGTTTCGAGTCCCATATCAGGCACTTAAAAATTAATTTCAATCTCGATTAGGTACTCTTTGGGAACCTATACATACATGTGTAATGAAGTCATACGTATATTACTTATTTATTTTTACAAAACGATGGCAATTTATAAAACGTGTGTCGAAATGGAATTGCTTTTCCTTTCCTTTTGCCTTAAGATTGTCACTCAATTATTGATAACGATAATTAATGCGTTCTTACTCAAAACATATCAAAGTTCTCTTTGCCTACCTTACATATGTTTCAATACAGATATAAATGGTACAAAGTTACAAAAGTCACCCAAACTGTTCCACCGTAGTATATTCCAGGCAAGCCTTAACGGAAACGAATAAAGGACAAGAGTGATTTCCGAATTTCCAAGTTTACATCTCTAGCTTTTAGTTACCGAATGGGCGCCATTGAGGCGAGACGACGCGACACATGACTAACCCTCCATAACGTGCGTCATAACAGCGTTGACTACCTCTCTGGTTAAGGGTTTATAAAATAGAATAGCGTTTATTAGCCTTTTACAGGCCCTGATCTACGATTTTTTTCTAACCGGGGCAGAAATTTCATATTGCGCCCTTCTACGCTCCAAGTGATATTTACACATTTTGAAGTATATTTTTTCTTGCCTACGATGTGTATGTATTTAAAAAAAATGTTGAAGCTCGTTTTTTAAACTTTTTTTCTGATTTTGGCACCCCCTATCACTGGAGCCTAGCACTGAAGGAACCATTATAAAAGTTTTTGCTTCGCAGAGGCAGTTTCAGTTTCATATCAAATTTCCTGAAGATTTCAAAGGTAAAACTGTTTAATATTGAAATCTTAAAAAGGTATTAAACAAGATCTTGTAGAGGCGGGATTCCTCTCGAGTGTCGGCTATATTGCGAACAAGTGCGAATGATAATAATGGGATAGTATGTTATAATAATATCTATTCTTACAACCTAAGATTTACTATTATGTTTTTAATTACAACCTATGGTTATATGGTATATGGTATATACCATATAATCATAGGTTTATATGGTATATGGTCGCCATTCAGATCTTGACGGGAAACATTTATCCTTCGAAAACATGAGTCACGGTTATAACACAATCTTCTAACTAAAAAGGCTGGAACAAGATTAGCAATACAAAATTACCGATACAAATATATCAAACTAGCTTACCGCCAGCGGCTTCGCCCGCGTGGTTCCCAGGAACCGTTTACTGAGATAAAAAATACGTTCCTAAAACCGCATCAAAAACGTGTTAAAGTGTCATTTTTTAGTCGGTTTATATACCTGATCCCTTCTCTTTAGTTGAAAACCTCCGAACAGCTGTGTTCTGTGCTGAACATCGCAACAAAATCAATTCAGCCAATCGCGAGATAATCGCGCAAAAACATACATGCATACACACAGGTCAAACTGAGACCCTCCTTTTCTGAAATCAGTTTAAAAAGTAGCCTATATGTTAATTACGCTTAAAATTATCCGTACCTATACTAAATTTCATCAAATCCGTTCAGTAGTTTTTGCGTAAAGAGGTAACAAACTTCCGAATTTCGCCTTTATAATTTGTTAGTTAGTAAGATATAGAACATTTATTACAGCTTACAAACGTCAATAAACCTTTGTGGATGTTTGTGCAATTGGGCAGTAAGATTGAGAAAGTCTTGCAAAGTATTATTGTAAATTAATATAATTAATCAGAATAGTTGTTTTCTTCTAACCATAAATAAAAATTATAATGGAGACTCAAGGCTATTCATATCTTATTGTCTTTCCTACGTGACGTCGGCCGCCGTCATTATACTGGCACGGAATTTTAATATCCACATGTTAAGAGTCAATACATACTCAATATTGTATTGCTAAAGATATTAACGTAACCAACCAATAGAGATGTGACTCAAGTATAACTAAACCCATTTCTGTGTAATTAATAATAATAAGCTTTAGGTATTTTTCACAAAATACTAATAGCATTATTACAAATAAAATACGATAATTTAACAAATAACTTCATTGTAATAATATATATTATTAGTAATTTAATATGATAATAATCTAATTCTATAAAATAGTTTTGTATGAATCCCCTTCGGGTGAAAGCCTTCTCCATGGATTTTCATTTGTTTTTAACTTTAACTATAGTTACCCAGTTCCGACCTGCTGTTGCCAGTAGCTCATCCGCCCACCTGGCGCTTGGCCTGCCTCTATTTCTCGTGCCTAGTGGTCCACAAAATTTTACAGATGTAATAGTCCATCTGTCATAATTTTCGTATATACCCAAACAATATTCTATTCTATCTAGCTAAGTACTTAGTTGATAGATTGAAATTGAATTTAAGTATCCTCTTAAGTGTACAATTTTTTGTTTACGAAATATTTTTAAATAAATCATATCATAAATTAGGGAGCAGATTAGACTAGATATGAAAAGTAGTTCCAAATAACGCCGATAGAGCTTTATCTGGATAGTACGGCGACGGTCTACTTTTCAAAACTCTTTTTAAGACAAACTCTGTGATAATAACTTATAATAGTGTGCCAAATTTCAGTTTGATTTGACATATTTATTGATAGATTTAGACCTTTGCATTTTATACAATTTAGAAGTAAGTGTGTTAGGACTGCCTATATTATAGAAGATGATGTAAAAGGAATGTATATTTTTTTAATATACTTATAATTATTTAATATATTTAAAGGCTTGTGGTTAATCATCATCAGCATTAATGTCGTGACGTCAGCCTGATGCATTCCACTGCAGGACGTAGCCCATGCGCGAGTGCGCCGCAAAACACCATAGCCCGCTGTCTTCATCTAGCCATCCACCACTGCTTTTCCTCTGAAAGGTGGCCACTGCCGGCCACCTTTCAGAAAAAAATTCAAAATGTCTAAATCTAATAGAGGTGAAAAGAGGCATTTCACCTGGCCGGAAAGACGTTACCTGGACTGCCACAACAATAAAATGTAAATAATGATAAAAGTTTTTATCATTCTATTCTGTTATATAAGTTTTCTTTATTATTTTTTCTCCTAAAACTCTAAGCAGTCAAGTTCGTTCCGCTATCCGCATTTCAAACTTATAAATATTTAATTTAATTCCCAAACTGTATTAAAAAAAGAACCAGCACCAAAGAACATGGACACGTTTTAGTATCCAAAATCCATTGAACCGTACAATTTTATGTTGATTAATTCCGTCTGTCCTTCAGTCGTGTGTTAACCGCAAGGGCAACATGACGTGCCATATTTATTATCAACGATAATTTAGTTTGTTTAGCGTTTGTAGTAATAGAGTAAATAAGTTGTCTGCTATGTTACAAACAAATTGCTTAGAGGTTAGTGTTTTGTAGTGAAGTGTACATTTTAAGTTTCTATTCAACGAATTCGACATAATCGTGTAAGTTATTGACGATAACACCAGGATCCCACATGTGTTTTTTATATATATATATATATATATAATTTGGTTATCTAATCGTTCCATGAATGTTGCTTATTTTAAAATAATATAATGAAGAGATTTTCACATAACTTATATTTCTATATTAATAAGAACAGTGCTATTTTATTGCATTACACAAATCACAACCCAACCAGGAATCGCACTCGTGGTTTAATAGAGATTTCGGAAAGTTGAAAATTCAATTAGATATATGAAAGAAATACAGTTTTAATTTAATAAACATAATATTTTCGTCAAATAGTAATCATCACCATTAAAAAAATAATCATTACCTTCGTTTTTAACCGAATAATAAGCAGAGGGTTAACATCACTGGCAACAGATAGATACCACAGTTCAACAATTAGGATGAGTGTGAGCCAAAATGAACTTTACTATATTTTCTTGGGTCTGGGTGTTGTGGTGCCTACGTTGTCTCAGATTCTCCCTTACATTATCATACAACTTTCTATTAGGTACTTCTTCTTTGAAATGACGTTTTAAAATATGTATTTAACTAGTCAATATATGTATTAAACGCAGCCATATCAAGAGGAGTTTCCGATGCTTAACTTTCACAATTACCGGGTGTAGGCTATGACCAAATATTGACTATCTCAAGCTCTTCCGACCTTTGCAAGGCACGGTAAACACAAATATGCACTGAGCCGGCGTGGTGGGTCATGCATGTTACATTCTCCCTGTTCGATCAATTATATAAAATACATATTATTGAAACTCTGAACTAAACATGTGTTGTCTTTATAAAATTGACCCCTTGAAGCAAATTGACAATAGAGAAAACGTTATTCGTATAATTATTCCGTGCATTTGAGTTGTAATTTTTTCCGAATAAAGTTAATAAATAGTCTATGTATTAAAGTTAGTCTACGTATTAAAGTAATACTAGTGATGTTAATTTCGTAACCAAATAAAGCAATTGACATTATACAAAAAATATTAAAGTTATATCTCACGAACAAACATCAATGAACAATAACTTTCTAAAGATTTTTCCTAAGCAACCTTGTTTTTGAAATTGATTTTTTTTTCTATCATAATAATAAAATTTGTAATATGCAAAATATTTTATTTTTTAAAATAGCAATTTTCTTGATATTTTACAGTTACTCGTCACTTATTCTCATAACAATATGTTATGTTATTCTACCAAAACAAAAATGGGAATTAATACTTTAGTTACTAGAAAATATTATGGGGACATACAATAGAGACACTAAAATATTTCACAGCACATGCAATAATCTTCAATATGTGAAAAAGAAATAAATTAATCATTCACGACGACACATATTGCGATTACGTCGCAAAATAAATATTTATTAATATAAGTAAACCCAGCCATCACGTGGACTGCTATTTCACATACAATCACGAATTCTGTTAATAGATTACACTCCCGACATTTATGTACTAACTAATTATAATTGTGATAGTGTATCAGAAAATTTAAATACAGTTATCTTCATGAGACATTTTTATTATTTTACAAATATTATACTGAGCATAGACTTTTAAATAAGATTGTGTGTTGTGGATACACAGTATATTATGAAAAAAAACAATATAATCATAAAATACCTACATATAGTAATAATAATAATACTTTATTGTCTATATATAGGGTAGATTACAATGAAGTGGATGGTTGTCTTTAATAATGTACTAAATATTAATAAATATACAATAAAATGAAAAGTAAATTTACAATCAACTGACACGATATTCATTTATTTCAGGTTATGGCAATGGCATGTTAATAAATAATAAGTATACAGAGTGAAAATGAACGACACGAGTGTATCAGAAAAACCTACCTCACGTAACCAATCTCAAAATCATGAAAAATCACATGTTATTGATGTTAAAGAAGATATGAATAAAATTAATTCTATAAAATCGCAGGATAATGAAATAGTTGCACTCTACATTAAAGATGACGATGCAGTAGATAGGGTTAAGTTTGAAGGTCTTTGTGATGATAGTATAAGTGAATGCTCAGATGATTCAGAGGACTTGAAACCTAATATTCCTGATGGGGGCTGGGGTTGGGTAGTCGTAATGGCTGCTTTTTTAGTATCAGCGTGCGCAGATGGATTGTCATTTTCATATGGACTCCTTCAAGAAGAATTTGTAGCGTATTTCGAAGCGGACCAATCTAAAATCTCATTAATAGGAAGTCTATTTTTAGCCACGCCTCTTTTGGCGGGACCCATAATGAGTGCCTTAGTAGACAGATATGGGTGTAGAATAATGACAATGATTGCTGGTGTCCTATCAACAATAAGTTTTTTACTAGCGTCCATTAGTAATTCGGTTGAAATGTTATGTCTGACGTTTGGTTTCATGGCAGGCTTGGCAATGGGAATATTACATGTTACTGCTGTAGTATCAGTGGCATTTTGGTTTGACAAAAGAAGAAATTTGGCATTTTCTTTAGCATCTTGTGGTATGGGCTTCGGCACTTTAATATATTCTCCGATGACTTATTACTTTCTACAGATTTACGACTGGAGAAACACTATTGTGTTACTTGCCGGTACTTTGTTAAATATGTGCGTATGTGGAGCTCTAATGAGGACTCCTGAATGGCTAGAAATAAAACAAAAAAGAGAAAGAAGACTATCGAGATCCAGAAGATCCTCTAGTGCAGGTTCTGTGTCGTCTTACTCTAAATCTATAGGCGGAGAATCTGTTTATTTCACGGCTGATGAATTGAAATCTCTTCTAAAGAGCGGAAAGAGTCCCGAATACATATTGCATACTTTAGTTACATCAATCGCAGAAGCTGAAGAACTAGAAGCTACTACACAAATGAATGCCGATCAAAACTGTAGGCGTATGCGCTCTGCTATACATTTACCAACTTTTATACAGCACAATGAAAAGGTATGTTTCTAAATCCAGGTAGCGATGCAATAACGATTTCATAAAAATTAATCTAATTTCTTAACTTTCCAGGTCCCACCTGAAGTCATAGAAAAGCTTATGGAAAACAAAAAACTTTATAACATCATATTAGAAAATTACCCCGAAATGGTAACTCGAAGACGATCGGAAATAAATGTGAACATAGAGACACCCCCCATTATCGCAGCTAACGAACCGGCGAAATTGCCAGTTCAAGTTAAACTCAAGATGCCAAAAGATAAAAATTCGGAAAATACAAAGAACGCCCCCTTAACAGCTGACGAAGAAGCAAAGCCAAAAGAAGCATCAAACAGTAAAACAGATGTTAATTCTTCACTAAAACCTAAAGAAAAGCATCATGAGCATCATCACAATCACGTTTCGAGTAAAGATGTTCACGATGTTAAAAGCGCACCACAAACGAATTGGTTGGCGAGGCAGATATCCACTGACCACCATTACTTCATGAACATGCCACTATCTCGTCACACAATGACATATCGCGGTGCTATGTTGACTTTGCCCAGATACAGGCTTAAAACTTCCTCATTACCGGATATCTACAAGAACTCTATGTGGTCGATTGATTCTGAATCTGATTATGAAATGGTAAGTTATTAATGATTTAAAAGATTTTCACTCACCAGCTTGCATTTAATTTAACGTTACAAAATCCTACATGAGTGATGGAAGCACATTATACCGATGAGGGAAAAGAACCGAGCGTACATTGTAACACCCCAACTAACATTACAGCTGCAAATAGAGCTTACTTTAGAACCTAAAGTGTTATAAAGGTTGATTAGTAGCTGTATTATAGGTTGTGGTGACAAAAGTGAGTTAGTAATAAAATGTAACGCTTATAATGACACAGCAAGTCTTTAAGAGCAATGAATGGAGGCTTAAAGAGTACAGCAGCGATTATTATCCCTACAGTACAGACTAAAACTCCTGTGTTATAGCATTGAGCGAATCTTATCACTATAAGATTTTTATAAGAAACTATCATATACTATTCTCCTCAAATTCTAGGCCAGCTATTATAAACTCATTTGTAGCACTCATAGTTGCGCAAAGGGAGCAATTAAAGCTACTAACTCTATAAATGTGTTTCTTAACTCTTTTATAAAAGCAAACTCCTAATGGGATACATAACTCCTGTGTATAACTTAGGGATGTATATTATATGTATTTCCCCCTATTAATAGATCCCATAGTGTCAACTCTAGTCTCTATATTACCTAAAGTTGCATTTTTGAGTTTATTACCACTTTAATAACTCTATTGGGTCACGTTATCGCTTATGTAAATCGATAAAGCGGCGTCGCAACCTAGCTCGGCTAAAAAGTTGAAAAACTTATGACAATGAAGTTATTTCTCTTTCTAGCGTTTTGATAACAGGTTCATGACATTTTTCAATCAATAGACAAATATTTAAAAATATTTTTAGTAAAAAAATGTTTTGCTTTACTTGAAGTGAAACATTTTTTTTATATAAATACACAACTAAGAGTGGGCCTCGTAATTATTTGCATATAATATATAGCCACATTCGCAGTAAAGTTACTTTCGCAATGAAAATTCCCCTTCAGTTTTCCATTAACAAGTTAAGATTTCACCATTTAACTCCGCCATTTTTTTCGTAAAGACCATTAGTATGGAGATTAGATGTAGTACTCGTAACAATTTGACATTAAGGCAAAACGTAATGTCAATAAGGCTAGGAAAAAACTAAGTCTTTAAACGTTAAAATTTCCTATTGTAGATCTTTACTGCAACTCGAGGTGTTACAATTTACCTTATTGCCACCCTATAACCGCTTAAAGAGTTAGTAAGGTGCATCTTAGATCTACTATAAACCTTACGGAGTTAATATTCATACATTTGCTTCCTTTATAGCACTCAAAGGTCTGAAGGGAGCCTGTAGCTCTATTATACCGCTTGAAGAGTCACTAGACACTTAAATACTTCTTTTACAACGCTTTAGGACTCAGTTACCTCTTATTTACCTCCACAATAACTATACTATATCTCTTAAATGCATTCTGTAACTCTACTATATCGCCATAGTGGAACCTAAGGTCATAAGAATTTGTGCCCAACCCAGGGGTACAGTAGAGTTATAGCTCCCTATAACTCCATGTGACAGCACTTATTGAACACCACAGGATCTGTTTAGTTCTTTTGTAGATCTATTCTAACTCTTATGTTAGCGCCTGATGTTACTTGTTACTTGATACAAATTTGATATTTCTAAAATATGACTTAATAATAGTATAATGTTATGACCAAGATCGAATATAAAATGTTAAGAGGCAATAGTTCCTGGTGAGAGAGCATGTTTGTATTAATATAATTTACTAGCAATATTTTATTCCAAACATCTTAAACAACAATTGTGAATTCGTGACACTTCCTTCAATATAAACAAAGTTTTAATACTAAAACTTTCCTTGTGAAATAATATTTCCATTGTATTGAAATCGTTTCCAGTTTTTGAATTAATCATATTCAGATAGATACGATGAGATAGCATATTTTTTAATAATGTACCCAATGAATAAAAGGTAAACAAAATGAAAAAATTAATAAAGCCTGGTAATATAAATACGAAATTCTCTTACTCTTTCTCTATATAACAATAGTCCCTAAAAATTTTAAAGCTACTACCTAATTAATCTTATAAACATTCGCATTTAAATTTTGTTGCATGACCAAAATTAATATATCACTTCTGTCTGTTCTATTAAACATAATGTTTCGTCATTTTTAATTGCAAACTTCAATGAATGCCGTAATTTTAATAATGGCGAACGGAATTAGAGTATATAACGTATATTTTTAGCTTCACGAGGTCAGCGATCGCATGACGTCATATTTCACAAATGAAGACCTCGTGACAACGAACTTAATGCAACAAAAAGATTACACATCACTTTGCATAATTTTGTCAACCTACGACCAAATAATTTTATTATACAGTTTTCATTACTGTCCATATATGTTTTAATCAGTTCAACTGTATTTACGAAATATAAATTATTTACATAATTAGAACTTAGCATTCTAACACCCTAAAAGGTTGTTAGTTAATTCAATAGTCATTCTTATCATCTCATAAACTATTTTTATATGTATCAACATCCTATTTGCTAATACTAACCGGGTGTGATATGATTAATTTCGTATGAGGCAATCAAGTAAATATTATTATTTGCCGAGAATTACATGCACTTTGAAAGACATGGGAGCTGTTGCCGCAATATTTTGCTGTGGCTGCAAAGTATAACTATTCATTCGTACTTATACGAAACTAGTTGACCCGGCGAACCTCGTACCGCCTTATATCCGTTTTTTTTTTTCAAATCTTAAATACAAACCGTGTCATGAATCGTGGAACATATAAAAAATAGCATCATCCAATTTTGTGCAGCCGGAACTGGCATTTGGAAGTTATGCACGTACACATACGTTTCGGCCAATCTTTTTTATTCATCGATATTTAATTTCTCGCCCGGAGATTTTTCTTTTTCATTAACTCATTAGTTTTTTTTTATATACATTACATGCATAACGTATCCAACTTATTTATTTGAATAATGATGAATAACTGTATAGTTAAAAATAGATCCGTAAATAACCCATAAATTTACTGTTTCAAGTAAGGGCGAAAAAATGGTTATTGTGGGTTATCTTTGGAAGATAGACATATACCACTCCGGACTTTTTGTAGATCTATTAAAGAGGTACAATTCTACCATAAATTGTTTTATATAACTCAAAAGTTTTTGGCAGCGTCTTCGAGGAAAGCTCTTGATATACTTTAATTTTATCCGACATCCCGAACTAATATCGTTGTAATATCATCAGTTTGTACAAAATCTAAACTTACTATACACTTAAACCTTCCTCAAGAATTGCTTTATCTATTGTTGAAAACCGCATGAAAATCCATCCAGTACTTTTTGTGTTTATCGCAAACAGACAGACTAAAGCGGCGGGGGACTTTTATTTTATAATATGTAGTGATAAGAAAATAGACGTGGACCCCGTGAAAACTACATGCCAGTTTAGTAAATTTCTCGCATAAAATTACTATGCTAGAATATGATTGCGGTTAGTGGAAATGTGACGCGGTTTAGTAAACTGTAACCCCTGAGTTTAACTCGTGCATAGATAGTAAAAGATACTTAGCATGTTTTTCTAAAAATGGAATCAAAGCAATGTCAAATTCAAAAGTTATGTAAAAAAATATAATGTTTTAGGCATTCTTTGATTTCTAGTCAAATAACATCTCGAGGTCTAACTTAATATAAAAGTTTTCTCGACACTTTGTAACTGACAAAAAAAAATGTTATAATAAGGAACTGACTAGCAGGATGTATAAAGATCATCTCACAATTCAAGATAACTCAGATAGAAATTAAAAACATCCTTCACTACATAATGATAGATTATGAAAAATACAGTTGACAAATACATTTTTATTTTTTAAACCATGTAGATATAATGCATCATATTTTTCAGTTTTACCTCGTAATACATTAAGACAGCTTACTTTCTATACTATGAAAATTATATTATATTATTTTTAATGACAAAAGCCACTTAGAAATTATAACTCTGTGGTCTTAAAAAATTGTCTAATAATATAAATATAAATTATTTTCAATAAATATAAATGATATAGCATTAGTCATAGACAAAGATAATCTTCTTCTTCTTCTTAAATTCTAAAGATTGACACACATCGGAATTGTGTAAACGCAAATAGGCCATGAAATAAAAAAGAAGAAGAAGAAGCTTTAGCTGTTATTAAAATGTCATTATTATAGATAAGTTGCTTCATATAATTTAAGCATTAACTATTGGCAAATCACAGAAGAGTAATATGGAAGCTGTATCGCTATAAAAATGAAAAATTCGAATACTACATTTTTGTTTCTTTTATATAAACTTCAATGTCGTGTCGTTTTCAGAGATGGTATCACCGTTGCTGGGAGACTCTGAAGACGAGTTTCAATTTTGAAATGTTCACCGAGTTCCACTTCAGCATGTTTAATCTGTGCGAAGTAATACTGTCCGTGTGGTTCATAGTGCCTTATTTCTTCCTCAACTCGTTCATGACCACCAGGGACATGGAAGGAGGAGAAATCATGCTCAGCATCATCGGAATAGCCAGCGCTATTGGAATTGTATGTTTCTATTTTAAATTACCTAAGTAACTAGAGCAGTTGTACTATAGAAATCTTTAAAAAAAGGTATCACAACTTAAAGCAAAATACTTAAAAAAATCACCAGCTCCACATTCTTTATAGAAAATGGGACTCGAACCCACGACCTTTCACCTTTCTTTTCTAGGGGGTAAAAGTTGCAATAATGTGACAGGTTTTCAATTTTTTTTAAATAACAGTAATTGCTACTCAAATACTAGACTAGAGTAGAAAGCATTGCTGAGTTTGTAGCAAATAATCTGTATAGGAATTCTCCTGAAGATCGCTCTAGAAACCTATTTAGATCCCTTTGATTATGCCAGATCAATCAGGGCTTGAAATTACAAGGTAGAAAGAGAGCATCTCTCTTGAACGTAGAGAGAAGTAGAGTCTTGGGTACTCCGAATCCCTATAAAAAATCTCTTGTTATCCCTATTTCAGGTAGGTTTAGGTTGGACCGGAGACCAGCCATGGATGAACGTGACAAAAGCCTTCTCCGTTTGCCTCATCATCTGCGGCTTGTCAGTTGGTGCCTATCCTCTGGTCATCACCAACTTCTGGGCTCTGAGTGTCAACTCTGCTATTTTCGGTTTCTCCTTCGCTAGCACATACTCTTATTCGCCGGCGATATTGATGCAGCTTGTCCCGATGGAGTACTTTACTGTTGCTTATGGATTGGTTCTATTAGCTCAAGGAATCGGACATTTAGTTGGGCCACCGATTGGAGGTACGTTATGATCCAAATTTATCTACCATAATATTTCAAAGATTAAATACAGATTGTCTTGTTTCTTTGTCTTTACTTATAACATAGAGAGGAAAGATTTAATTGTCTGTTTCCATCCAATAAGCTGGTTTCGGAGCTAAACCGATATTATTAATTAAAAATTCTTATAAAATCCACTTTAACCCTAGTATTCTAAGATGGGATTCGAACTCATGACCTCTCGCGACCCGGGAACTACTCTAATCACTAAGTTACCCAGAACCTTACAGAACTGACGAATCTTTCAAGCACTTGTTACTTTCTTGCTGCTACAGAGCGCATTCTCATCAACGTTCAGGCAATCCACCCAAACAGCCGGAAGAAATATTTTTACAAATATTTAAACTTTCAATAAAGATGAAAATTTGTTCTAATTATTATATTTGATCAATTTTTTATTCACAACACAATATAAATAGTGAAAAAATACTCAGTGGTAAGAGCAGTCGCCCAGATTGCTAAAGGTCGTGACTTCGAATTCCATCGCACAGTACAAGGGACAAAGTGATTTTTTTGAGCATTTTCACTATGTAAGTGTTTTTCAGTATTGCATTATGAATACAAAATATATCAAATGTAATACGGCACAGATTATTTAAATTCTTGCACTTACGGTAAGCTACATTATATGAGGTCGACATAAGCTATCATTTACGCTACTAATAGATAAATTCAAAACTACTGGACTTGTTATAAAACCCTTTTAACAATACAAAGTCAGATATTTTATATTGTACCACAACGTCGAGACTTTGACTATCGGATATTTTAATTTCGTTCCAGTAATAATTAGGAATATTATTTCCAAAAGTTTATTTGGCACAATATTCTATCTAAATCTGTCATTCCTCTACATTCAGATACACTATAAATATAAAATGCAATCGCGCACGTTTTCAATCAAAGAAACTTATTAAATAAAATTGAAAAATATTCTTTGAATTTATTTTTCCATCCATTCCAGGTCTGTTGTACGACGTGACCGGTAGCTGGGACCTGACTTTCTACGTGGCAGGGTTCTGGTTGATTGTATCTGGTCTATGTCTGGTGGTGGTGGCGTACACCAAGAACATTCGGATGTGTGGGGTAGCCCCTCTGCTTAACGATAAGAAAGACTCGGAAGACGGTGTTGCTATTTGAATGTTACATTTACCATTCAGAATATTCGAATAATATTCTGAATACTACTTCACAACTAGAGGTTTATCTTGAGATTCAGTGCCTTTGATTTATGTGTTTGTAATTCATTAAAACTATGGACTCAGAATGACGGTAACGGAATTCACTACTAACGTATTATCTGCAATTTAAATATTTATTTGTTGGAATAAGTATCTTCAATATTTGTTGTTTAAAATGAATTGGTCAGATTTGCTTTGAGTATTGTCGAAAGTATAATGAAACGCAGCAAAATTTATTCATCATTAAGAATAAATCCTGCACTGTATCCCACAATGTTTATAGCAAGTTAATTTTCAAATATAAATGCATCAAATCAATTCTATAAAACTTCACGTGAAATTACGCGCTGGCGCGTGGAGCATATCTTTGATATCCCGAAATATTATGTTGATGCCAGTCAAAGGGTTAAATGAATTGTGATCTGAATTGGTCAGATTTGATTGGCGCATTGTCAAAAGTTTTTAACTTTGTATAGAAATATATAAATAATTGCCATTGTAAGGGTTTTTTATTTTAACTTCGCTTCACGAACTTCAAATGTCTTTGAAATTACGAACACAAATAGAAAATAATTTTTTTTTTTGAAAATATAAAGACGTCTGAATAAAATGTAGGCACTTCTTACTTAGACAAATTGAACGGTACTGAAAAATTGCTCACTATGATACCATGATGCTAGTACATAATTACACACATTTCGTTGATTGACGCGTGACGGTGCGCGGAACCGACGGTACCGTACTTGATCAACAAACATAACTATAGTGTTATAATTCACTACTGATAAATAGTTATACTTTTAATTTGTCCCGACAAGTTCGCGTATCCTTTAGACAGATTTTGATAATATTGCGACTCGGTGTGTGCGTCAATTTGCATTCCGCCATGCTTTTCTATAAAAAAATCAACAGCGTCTAGTTCGAGGCTGTTGTTATTACATAATAGCAGGTGGCATAGTTTTTCCACTTACCAGGAGCTTGTTAAGTATATACAAACAGAATTAATAAATGAAACACTCTAATAAACTTTACAATTACAACTTTATTGTGAAGGGTACAACAATGGTAAGGTCAGATCAACAACAATAGGTATATTCAAACAGTAGGAACAAAGATTAAAATAAACGTTATTAAATATGTACAATGATGCCAATTCTGCTATACCATTCTCTAAATTGGTGCCACGCATTCATTACGCAACATTTATGGGGGAGGGGATTAACTATGTCATTATATTCCTACCCTATTGCCAGACAGGTACAATAAGTTCCAACTAAATGAAGCATATGAATCTTTGTTAGCGCAGAGCCAACAGATTATGGCGAAGTCCCAACGAACGATAGAAATTCATAATTATTATTGTTTCAATAACCATAAGTTATAAAATACATCGCATTAAGTCTCACTCAGACTCAGCAGGTATCAAGCGCGTGGATATAATGTAGGTAATTCGATCATTTTGACTGGCTGACGCTTGGCGCGCTTAGAAATGTATCCTTCTGCGTAAGTTCATTCGTCAGCCACATCAGTTATACCATACTGTACGCACTTATTTGGTCACGTAAGTGTTCACACAATGTGGCTCAGGCATTTGATATTTTGTCACATGTTTATGCCCTTATAATTTATTTGAACAGTGCTCATTATGTATGTACGTGTCTGGCGCGAACTTTACAAGGCGAAGGAAGACGTTAGCTCAAAAAACTTGCATAAAGAAATATTATATACAGGCTGTATCATGAAGAACGGTCAGTCTGGGAGGGTAAAACTATAATACATGTTACCAAAATGTTATTGGAAAAGGAATTATGTCCTCGATTTTAGTGAAAAGAAAAACGGTGTAAACTCCCGTATAATTTACAATAATTAAAATGTTGTTATCTTAGTTATTTCCAGAATTAAACACTCAATTAAAACCACATTTAGTGTAATTTGTGCAAAAGAATTGCTACCATTTACATTCACGTTCCATATTTTGAGCTTAGTAACGACAGTAACATCGGCCAGTAGAATTCCGAGCCTGTGGCACCATTAACACGGTCTATTACAGAACATAACAACATTTAGTCTATTTATTTCTATTTCCTATATAGCTACAAACGATCGTGTTCATTCTTCACATCCATTACAATAGTTCTAATAAGAACAGTTACATTGATTACTTAAAAACAACCATTCATGGAAAACGACAGTATTTCAAATGTTAAGACCGATATTAGGTCACATGCTATATACCTCATTTTTTAACCCTTTTGTGTTTTGAGATTGTGTTGTACCTACTTGGTTATGCAAACTGAGTCCAATTATATCATATTACTATATTATATCATACCCTAAAAACTCTTTTGGTTTTATAGAGAAACATAAATGAATTTATTATGAAAATGTGCTCAATTTTTTTTTTTAAATAATATGAATACCTTTTCATCTTATTCAAAAATTCTGGTAGCTTTAAAAATTCAAAAGGAATGCGAAAATTGTATACTACACTGCCAAATATTTATGTCATGTCTTTTTCATATGGGTTGTTGTTGTTCGAGTGGTTTTGAGAATGTTGTGACGGGGAGCCATCTGAGTGAGAACTGTATTATTGATTAGATAGATAGTATCTAATCAATAATACAGTCACTGATTGTATTATTAATAACGTATTATTATTTCAATTATATATTTTACCAGTAATTATTATTATCTTAAAATCGATTGCTATTTTATTAAATGGATATTATTATTTTGATATTCGTGCATACTTTGTCAATCAGCTTCATACTTTGTCTGCATACTTTGTCATCAGGTTGCAGCTGAAAATCAGCGTTAGGTACTCTTGTGCCTAATTATGCCGAGCTGATGACCAGATGAGACGGAAGAACTATTATGAACAATATCTGAAATTTTTCGTTTTGATAATTTTATAAACTTTAAACATCTATATCTGAGTCATAGTCTGTATATCTCCATCGTATTATAATATGGCGTACCCAACTGATCGATTTAAAGGGTACTGATAGTAAAATATTTTAATCGCGTGCCACAGGTTGCCGACTCCTGGGCAAAGGCAGTCATCATCTTTTCGTTTCATTAATAAGCTACATCGGAGCCTCAATAAACGGTTTATCATCGTAGTCAGTAATTCATCAACAAGTTTTTCCGTCACCGTACGGCAACAAGAAGCAAAATGTATATTTCACAATGGTGTGATTGGATCCAGTTGGCAGCAACCAATATGTTCATTTATATTAGATATTCCATTCAATAACAATTACTTATGCTCTGTAGGATTAAAGAACATAGAGGATCGGTGTATAATGTAAAGCTAAATCCTGTTATAAACTCTATTATTGTGATTGTGTTTTACCGGATTTTACAGTTAATTTTACTTAACCTAGAAGAAAATTAAGTTACTGAACAGAACTTTTTTATTCAGATATCTAGTATTTTTTTTATTACCGAAAATATTCATTAACACTATCAAGTGTGTTGTCGATGACAACCTCTTTTATTAGACATTTGTTTTTTTATATATATAGGATTTTAAAGGAAAAAATATATAGTTTGACTTTTTGGCTGACATTTGAAGCGGTTTTAATTTTTTCCCCTTCTAATTTACGAAAATAAAAGTGGCTTCAGCTCCCGCACGCCAACGTGTTTACCACCAGCGTTTGTGACCAGCACCTCCAACATTTACAAATTGGTCCTTCAAGGTTTACGAGGATGTCGATGCTTCGCACTCCCTACGGTATAAAGACACGTCTTCAGACGAAAAGGGACCGAAACGAACATACGACTTCTGAACACGAAGACACCAACGCAAATGGTAAACGTGAGCACCTGTTGAGACAAGACGGAAGTGTGGATGACGAAACTCATTCCATCCATTCTTCATCGTCTGTTGCCGCGAGGAAGCGCTTGGAATTGGAAGCGGCAAGAAAAAAGGCTGAAATAGAACTGCAATTAGTCACAAATAAGGCGGAAATTCAGAAGTCTTTAATTAATATGGAGCTTGAAGCTGACTTGGCTGACCTAGAACTTGAAGGGGGCACCCGTAAGTCTATGATATCCTCTAACGTAAAAGTTCAAAATTGGATAAGAAAATCGGACTACGAAACGCCTAGAACCAAAGAGTTGGTATGCGATACTAACGCCCCAGTTCCATCACCGCCATCGTTACTTCAACAGCTACCGCAATGTTCAACACATTCATTACCGCCGCAACGAAATGATATTCACCAATTAGCTACTGCACTCCAAGAAGCGATTTCTACGGCAGTAGCACCTAGAAATTCAAACCAAGAATTATTGTCACGGATCTCTACATCAAAAGATTTACCTATATATTGTGGCGATCCTTTAGAATGGTTACAGTTCAAGAATGCATTTTACGAATCCACTGAATTATGCAATTATAGTGACACCGAAAATATGTGGCGACTACGAAAATGCCTACGCGGAGAAGCCAAAGAAGTAGTATCTTCACTACTGATGTCGAATTCCTCTCCTCTTGACGTCATTGCAACACTTGAGCTTCGATTTGGAAGACCAGAGATTATTATGCATAAGACAATATCGCACTTGAAAAAACTGACTCCTTTGTCACAAAACTATCAAGGTGAATTGATTCAGTTCTCTATAAAGATAAAAAATTATGTGACAGCTGTAAATGCGATTGGTCAAAGTGATTACCTGCAAAGCCCTGAACTCGTGTCCATTATTGTTTCCAAATTACCTACTACACTAGTAACCAAATGGGCTGACTATTACTCTGAAACGCAATCTACAGAGGTTAAGAAGACAAAATTGGAGCGATTATCATTATTTCTATATAAAGAAGCACAAAAAATCGCCATATGTGGTGTAAGTTTCATACATAGCCAGTCCGATTACAAACGCAAGTCTGAATATGTAAAGAATACACATCATATGATGCTTACGGACTCCAATATGCACACTGAAATGTGTAAGTTTTGTAAAACAAACAAGCATGCATTAGAAAAATGCACAAAGTTCAAAAGAGCACTACGCAAAGATCGCTGGAGATTTGCACGCATGAAAAAATTATGCTTCAAATGTTTTAGTGCACAACATACTGATGTATCAATGTGCACGGCTCCTATGTGTGACATCAATGACTGTGGTCTACCCCATCACCGTCTCCTTCATTGGATGAAGCCAAAGCAGGAACAGGAACTGCCCGTGGGAGATACTGAGCAGCAGAACGATGAAACAGTCGCAGTGTTACGAAATCAGTGCAATAATGCGTCTAAGGTGTTTTTAAAAGTAGTGCCTGTTACCATTCACGGCCCAAAAGGCAGTGTACATACTCATGCATTGTTAGATGATGGTTCTACCGTTACTTTGATAGCTACTGATATCGCTAATAAGGTAGGTCTACATGGAGAGACTGTAACAATGCGCGCTCGCAGCGCATGGGATTCTGGAGAATTGGTATGCAAAACTGAAATTGTTGACTTTGTTATCAGTAATAGTAGTAATGAACGGTTTA